AAAATAAATAACAAACAACAAATAAACTAAGGAAAAATAGCCAAAACCTACTAACTGTATGCCACTGTATGTATACGTCGATTCGAATCACAGGCATTCAGATTAGAAAATAAACCTGTTTATGGAGAAAATTTAGATCATATACCATTAAGTGATACTTAAAACTCGTTCATAGGCATGCCATTTTAATGAGCTGTTAAGGCGTCTAAACACCGATTACGAGACAAATACGGGACTTTAAAAGAAATAAAGAACGTTTGGCGTCCCGTATAAAATAAATAAATTAGTTACCAGGACAATGGGTCAAAAAAGAGGACTGTCCCGTATAATAGAGGATGGATGGTCACCGTAGGTATGGGTGAATTCCTAAATGTAAGAATACCAAGCATCACCTAAGAGAAGAAAATTTCTTCCATTTCTTGAATGTTCTTTTATATATGTAAATACATTTTTCGTTTTGCTTTTTACGTGTTGTTACATTTTTCGATAAAAACGTGTATTTGATCGAAAAAGGAGGCGCACTTAACTTATAAAATGCATTACCTTCAGTTTTCTATAAAGAACAAGATTCCAACGCGAAATTTTATTTAAATGAAAATTTTAAAAAGATATGCATACTAAGAAAAATTAAAAAAAGTAAAAATATCCACTCCGTCCTCATATCCCCGAGTTGCGTATGTAACGTATACGCCCCGTAGCACCATACGTATGTAGCTATCTAACGCCTTAAATTAAAAGCCATGTTTTTTAAAAGGGATTAAATATTGGCATTTCAGATTTTTATACAGTATTCCTTATGCATATAGTATGTATGTACCTATATATTAATTGTAGAATGAATTTCGAGTATGCCAATTAAAACTGTAAAAATGGAATTTTAGTTTCTCAAATCAATGTAATATTTTTCAATTGGTGATACACAAGTCTTATTACACCAGATTGTTTTCTTTGGAAAGAAGAACATTTTCACCGTTTAATTGTAACATTTCGAAGTATCTCAAATTATAAAAATAAAAAAAAGTAGTAACATTTTAAAATTACAAAATAGCTGCGACAAATATCCTGTACGCTGCTATTTTTTTTAATTTCGTAGCAAACTCGTGAAACTTCACAGTTATGTTGTATTTGATGCTAACGTCCATTGCATATGAACATTCTATTTGAAAAAAAAACAATTGTGATTTTTCGAATGGCAATGAAAAAATGAGTAATTTCGTTACTTTTTCGTTTCAAGCATTTGTTCTATTCATCTGATAACAGATTACAATATTATTGAAGCAAATGAGCAATATATATGTAGATATTTAAAAGAATCTCTAATTTTTCGCATTTTCTCTGCAACACTAACAACAAAAAGCAAAGTATGTATTTAAATCTTTTTATTTGAAAAGTTGATTGCTGAGTAAAAGTTTACCCGTATTTAAAGAGGCGACGTTTGGTTCGAGATGGGTAAAATATTTATGCACATACATAAAGAAAATATATTGTTTATATGTAGTTACAAATTATCTCCAACGACGCTACAAATTAATACGTACATATTTAAATACATAAATTTAAAGCTAAAAACATCAATCCTTGAGCACTTGCAACACAGTTCCAATTGAAATTCATTTCTTTTTCACCCAACCCACTCAATCTTCATTTGTGGCTCTTGGAAAGCCACAGACTTTTTAACGTCACTGCGTTCCTTACTTTCACTCGAGTCTCCCCCTATTCAAGCAGACATTTCTCGGCTGTCATATTTCTAAAAGTTAAGTGGACTGTCAATGTATATTTGTTTTTCGCAATTTATGCGGCAACTTTTTGCTACTTTTCTCCGTCTCTGTCTCTGTCACGAGAAAAGGAATTCCTCCTTCTACGAGTACCACAACAACAACAACGGCACTTGCTGATGGCAAAGACAGATACTATTCATCTCCTTAGAACAATTGCTAGTAATTAACATAATGAAAGAATAATAAAAACACCAGATCTATGCAAGTTCATATCGCACTCTGCCAGCCGAGAGAAGAAAGTGCGATGACATTCTTCTTAATTATTAATTGGCAACACTTTTTTCCATAGCTGCAAAACGAACGGAGCAAGTGAATTTGCGCCGAGAAGTGGTGACTGGTGAAAGTTACGCCCCATAAATTAATTTTAGTTTAGTTTCGCTTGCCGGGTGACCATTGAAATTGCAGCAACTTGATTAAGTAGATACAGGGAGCTAACAACAAGAATGTGAAAGTAATTGCGGGTGCGACTGTGCAGTTATATATGTATATATACATACATATGTATTGGAAAAAGCATTGGACAGGCGAATAGCTACTTTGATTGCGTGAAAGATAAAACTCGCTAAGAGGAAAGAAATTATCCTTGTATGTGATGAAACTTCATTCCGCAACATGAACGAACACGCCTTCAATATACACACACGTGTATAGTATGTACATATGTATGTATGTATAACTACTATTAATATAAAAATGTGAGATAAATATTTCCTGCATTGAGATATTTTAGCATTTTGCAAACTCATTGGAGCGACCATTTGTATGTCTTCAGCTGGGAGGCAAGTTGCCCCGGCGCGCCGCCTGCATTCGTACGTATCTTGTATCTCGCTTAATTACCGAGATATATGCGTGTCGCGCGCACAGCCTAATTAACCCCCATTACAAGTGCAACACACCACACCCGGCCGACCGACCAGCAGAAGCCGGGCGCAAATGGCGGGCCATAACACATCACATATTGGCCAATGGCTGGAGTACTGCATCGGCCAGCCACCAACATCCAAGTGGACGCCAGATCTGCTGCTGATGTTTTTGCTTTGAATATGCTGATGGTGCGACTAATCCGCCGCACTTTGATGGGTGCGAACGTAGGGCGCCGCACTTGCGAATGTATGTATGTATGTATGTTGAGCATGTGTCCGCTTACACAGCAGCATTAAAATGTACTCGAAAAGTGCACTGGACTTTTGGCATATGGACTCATCCAACTGACTGACCAAACCAGGCAGCGAACGGCGAGCGGAGGTCAAATGCTCAGCTAGTAATTAAGATTTCAACTTGGCTGCCAGAGCTTTGTTGCTGCTGGTGAACTTATTTTAGTGGCATTGCTTAATTTATTTTCATTTTTTTTTTTGTTTGTTTGTTTGTTTGTTACGCATTGGCCATTGCTTCCTGCTTTCATAACAATATACACATACATATCTGGCTGTTACTGTTGGTGTTGTAAATATTTACTGCGTACGATATAATAATAATCTCTTTACGATGATGTCGCAGTTTATGATAATGGGAACCATCTGGCCGGGACAAGACAAAAAGGCCTCGACAATAATGCCAAAAAAAACCAAAAAAAAAACACATTCAACTTAAGTACTTCTTTCAGCAGGATTCGAGGCGAGGGAGTGTGGTTTGTTGACATTTTAAGTGATTTAATGTTATGGTTTGCAAACTCTGACATTGTTTGGTGCTTCTGTCGTTTCTGCAGTCGAGAGATTTGTATTCGCGTGCGTTGCTGACCAGATAATATGTCGGTAAATGAATATTAATTGCGCCAGTTGGGTGCTTTCGAGCGATCATGTATGTATGTATGTATGTATGTACGAGCATATGTATGTATTCCTGCATGTTTAACTTTCACAATTCAAAGGCAAAATTTTAAACTAAGCCAACTGAAAGGTCCCAACACGCAAAAGTGGGATATAGTCGGGTATATATGCCCGAATAAGGGGCCCATCGTGGGCCCGGGGGCTTGGGGTTGAAAATATAACACTGGCCAACGAAATTGCACTTTTGGCCTGATGAATAACTTATGACAGATGATGTTTACCAATTTAACCTCGCTGATTCTAAATATACCCTCATTTGATTTCTAGCAGCTCTTGTTTACGAGTTATAGCTTTCACCTTCGTACGTTGGAGGAACGCTATCAAGGCCTCTTAAATGTAAACACACTGGCTGACTATTGCATTCAGAACAGATCTCTGCCTGCAACTTCCGCAAGGAAGTCTTATAAAAGAAAGTTTTTTCAACTTAAGATCTTACTAAAATTGGATCAACTACACTGCCGTAAAAGAGTATTTCGTCGCTCGAATAAAGAAACAGTGTAAATGCCACATACACTATTATTCGATAATTGCACCATTGGATAGACCGGATCAGAGCGCAACCTGCTGAGAAAAGAACACGACGCCTTGTGAAAGGGCTGAGAAAAGAACATGAAAATGTGACAGCGCTAACACAAGGCAGAATAAGTGCAGCCTTTTTTCGAGAAAAGAAAACGCTATTAGAAAAATCTTTAGTTTTCTTAAATATCTCTTTGGCTCACTAATTTATTCCCGAAAAATGAAATGGTATTTGTATGGTTTGTAATGGTTTATAAAAGTTTCCAATTCGTTTTTCTCAAAACTATACTTTTCATGTTACAGTATTTCATTATTCCAGCGACGATTTATTGGCACAGAGAATGTTTTACAATATATGCCAAAAATTTTATTTTAGTTTTTTCCGCTAATTTTTTATACTACAATAAAAAACATAAAAATATGGTTTCGAAATTTTATGGAAAACTCAGGAAAATTCATTAAATTTTCATGGAAATTTACAAATTTTTAATCAGACTTTTTTTGAGTATGCAGTTTTTTTTTAGCCCAATAAATTTTATTACAGCAAAGTGCAAGTTTCAAGTAGCTAGGACTTACTGGCGATTTTTGCAATTTTTTTTAAACGTAAAAGAAATTTCAATCATTAAAAATTTAGCTACTATTATGTAACATAACTTAATCATCAGAAATGCTGTTAAAATTTTTATTTCGTATGAAGTTTTATTAATAAAGTTCCCCTTAAAAAAGAATTTTGACATAATTTCAATAAAAACTAAAAACTCTAATTCTTCCCATATAGGTACTTTTTGATCCGTGGCAAGATCACTTTTTTCGCCGCAATGTTCATCGTAAATCAAATTTGCAACCATTTCACTTTCGATTAAAAGTATGTAGTGCAAAATTTGTTGGTCTACTTTGACCCTGGGTTGATCGAAGGTAGGCTTTTATCAATCTAAGTTTCCCAGTGTTTGGAAAAAGTTTAACTTTGTATGCATCTATATTTTTCATGCCACAAATTTATTTTTACTACAAAATTTTACTTACATATTAGAAAATGAGAACCAGCCTATCTAGAAAAAAAAATCGTTTATGTAATATGAGAATGAAGGATTTATAAATAACATAGGCCTGCGCTGTTTTTTTCTGCAATTTGGTTTAGTATTAGGTACTAAGCTACGGAAAGATCTATAAAAAATTCCATCACGTAAATTTCTCATCACTGAAAATAAATTTCGATATTCCAGGAAAAAAGGCTATATATTATCTTAACATACTTAAATATTAGAAAAACACAACACAATTATTGTAAGGGGGAAAAGTTTAATTCCGCAAGCCCGTATAAGATATAGAGTCTTTTACTGAAAAGCCCATCCACCTACGTTATGCTACCCATTATATCTTGTAAAAGAAAATTAGAAGGTGTGAATTGGACTTTAAGCTCTTTCGATTCTGGTAACGCAAATTAATCTGCATCCTAATCCTTTTTTGAAATGTCAGTTAAGCTAGCACTCTGGCTCTTAGGGCCTCCAATATGTTTTATCAAATTATTTCTTCCTTAATGTGTGTTTATCTAGCAAACTGCTGCATGGAGGGCGCTTTTAAGAAAAGGTACTTTTGTGTCTTCAACCCTGGAGTCGATGACGCAATGGTGGTCTGCGTATAGTGCTCTTTTAAAGCATTGTTATAAACAAGTAATTTTTAGCAAAAAAAAAAACCGACTTAAAAAAAAATATATAGTATATGTCTATATATTTCATGATCCAACGATCGGATCTAAACCAAATTAGTATGGGACCACTTCTGAGACACTACCTTTCCGGTTGACGTGGTGCAAAGTTATGCGGTAACATACATAAAAAAAAAAAAAAAAAAATATTCCGACGAACTGATAACCTCCTCCTTTTTTGGAAGTCGGTTAAAAATTAGACATAGAGAATTTCACTATACATATTCACATAATTTTTATTAGTATTATTTTGATGTTTTTACATAAACTGTAATTTGCAATTTTGCAAAAACAAGCATGACTTTTCTTAGCTCAAGAATTGTTTGTTGAGGTTAAGTTATGTTAAGAAATTTCAATAAAAACCAATGTAAGTTCATTCTAATTTTCAGTCTCAGAGTCTGGGCGCCTGAAAAGGTGTTTATCCTCTATTAGAGCCAAAAAGTTTCAATCAACTATCGACGACCCCTTAAGCCGAATTATGTTTAAACTACTACTCTTCTACTAGCTACTCTTCATAAACCCTAGAACACTAATGTTAGTCGATTCGACTCAAGTAGTTTATGTTTTGTGGTGAAGTTTCTGGAAATGCATTTTTTTTTTAATTTAATTTTCGTTCATTAAACTACAACATAACCGCATAACTTTTGTTTTATTTTGCTTAGAAAGTATTAAAACAATAACTTATGGAATATTTTTTGACGATTGATGCTTTAAAAGAAAAAATCAGTGCTAAATGCATGTTAGTCGATTCGACTAATAATTAGTATGAACGTATTAAAAATAAAAAAAATTGCGTTCCAGGTTTAAAGAACGCTTCCCAAAAACCACACAACAAATTTCCTTCATAGCGGCATACCGTTATTCGACCCGGGCACTGGTTCCAAGCACCTTTTCTTATTTTCCCTCCTCACGCCGTTTTACGATTTCGCTTTTGTATTATTCATTTTACGTTTGGTCTTTCCGTAAATCAATGTGAAATCTTAAAAAAAAAATGTATGCATGAGTAAGGCCAGCGCTTCGGATTATAGAGTTGAAATTGTAATATGAATAACGAAACAACGAACGCTATGAAAATAAACACTCAACTGTAATTATACCATTTTACAACAAAGCTATTTTGCTTACAGTTTTTCATTTCATTCTGCAAGGAAACAAAAAAAAACAGTACCTATCTGGTTAACAGGTTGTGTGATGATATTTTTTATTAAGTTGACAACACTCGGAAAAGAGTAAGCTAAATATGTTTCTCCCAGCACAAGATTTGGTAACTGTAACCACATCGTGTAACTATAACCAAATCATGTGTTGAGGGAAACATATATAGTTGCTGTAACTAAACTATTTTCTCAGTGTAAAGTAGAAATTTGTACCACATAAACGCTGAAACCCAGGCAGGTGTGAACGCCACGGTATTTATTTAAACGATTTTTTATCAAACGGATGCGAATGTGTGACTTGTTTGGACCACCCCACAAAAATTAAAAAAGTACTCATTTTAAGGGCTCCCAGTAATGCGCTACGACACATTCGTTCATGTAAATGTAAACTTACACATGCATGCATACATATATACATACATACATATATACATTTGCGGCATGTGTACACATTCACCTTTGTATGTTTGGCAAAAGCTATTGAAAATTTTTTGATTGGAAAAAATTTAATTTCCTATCCGTTTCGGTTGTTATCAGCACTCCAGAGCGAACAGCGCCATCCAAACCGCAAAAACCATTGTAAAATTGCTTTCACTGTTTGTTGTTGCCGCTGCTAGACCTGTCACCGTTGTATACGATACGCTCAATATTTGAATCGTCACTTTGTGCTGTTTAATTCATTATTTTTTTTTTTTAATTTTTGCAAAAATACACAATACACAATAGCTGCGAATTTTACAGTGCGGAAATCTAAAATGTTTTTTTTTTTTTTTGTACCATTCCATTGCACATTTCTCCTCTGCATTTCGATTATGAACCAATGTTTGTGTTGTGCATTGACTATCTGCCGGGGGTTGAACTCACACCACAATTAATTAAAAAGCTGACAATGAATGCGAATTCGACGAATGTGAAAGCGCACAAATCGATTGTATTGTGGTTTATCGTATCGGCCACAGCAGCGAGGAGGCGTCGAACTGCGAAGAACAATGTTGCCGTTCCGTTTTTTGATTAAAATTCTTCTTTTTTTTTAGCAAACGATTTGATTTCGCTATTTATGTCAAACAATTTGAAAATCAAGTATGTAAAATACATATGTATGTGTCTACATACTTACATATGCCGACAGGCTCATATACATACATATATTTATGTGTGTATGTACAATTGTATGTAAGAAAAAAAAACATTCCCGACAAAAATACGCAAAACGAAAAACGAAAAACGAAAAGCGTTTTAGCCCGTTTCTGTTAAGTCGGAGTCAATTTACAAAAACTTAGATACTTATGCATGAATTTTATGTTCCGCAAAAGCACTTTTACAAATCTCGAATGAAAAATTAATTCATTGACCATATTTTGAAGAGTCCTTCAAACTTGTCACATTGCCAAAGTCATAAATAATTAATAGTCATGCCATTAGCTGGTGCTCTTTAAACTATTATGCAAAATGCATTAAAGCTCTTCAGCCTTTCACAGGACACTCTCCACCACGACACACTCGAAATAATGAAATACAGAAGTACACACATACATACATACATGCATTCACTTCAAACGCAGTGGTGACATTCAATATCACTTCAAATATATCACATCACACAAAGGCCACCTAAAGTCACCGGCTGCAAAGCCAACGTTGTTGTTGCCAAATCTTATATACATACATATGTATGTATGTACTCAAAAGTCAAGTCAACATGTGATGCTGCACCCTCTCATCACCCCTCTCGCTCACCCGCGCATCATGGCCGCAGTGACAATCGTATGAACACATTATCACATTAGCAAATCACAAGTGACGTCGGCAAGCAGAGTGAGGATAACGGAGGGTAACGCTGACTGCAAAAGGGTTGTTGTTTGTCCTTCATTGAAGAATGTCAGCGTCAGGCATGGGAGTGTATGCGTGTAAGCTACAATTAAAGGACATGTTGCAGCCACAAAAAATGTCACAGTCGCAAATTTAATTATCACTGAAATGTTCGCTGCCATGTAAATGAAGGCATTTGCATCAACATTTCGCAACATTTGCAATTCAACAAGGACAACAAGGAATGGTGGTCGCGTTTTGTTCGTTGCCAGTTGAGTTGAGTGAATGTCACATAATTTATTCGAAATTTACAACGGTTGATGAATAAAGGACAACCACTACTACGCCACCTGGATCATTGCCGAAATCGGCAATATATTAGCCCAATAAAATTTGTTATTTAATTAAAATTAGATATCGTTTAAAAATTACTTTAGAGAAGATACCTATAATTCGATATGTGCACATATGTACATACATACATATGTGACGCCGCACGAAGAAACACAGCTTAGCGTCCAGAAATTTGATTTTTCATTTTTCATCCAAATTTGTAACGTGGTGCAATCGGAAAAAAAACGGTCAAACACCTGCTTTTCAATTTTAAAAACCGATCTGAGGCAAATAGCTAGGGGTAAAATCATGCTACCTTTACTTTCGGCCGTCCCGTAAAATTTCCCAAAAGACGCTAAAGTGTGCTTCTTCGTGCGCCGTCACATATATATATAGGGTTGCCAGACGTACTGCTTTTGGGAGTACAAGTACTCCTTTTTATTGCAATGTACTCCCTTGCGTTGCTTTTTTATCCAAAATAGAAATGTACTCCTTTCTCCGTTCCCGAATCTGGCAACCCTGCATATATAGAAGTTAATAATATATTTTCGCAGAGAAATCACTTCTGAATTGCTCTTCGATTTTAAATGAAATTTGTTTTAATAATTGTAAGGAATATAAACGGAACATTTGAAAACGTGTTTAGGTACACAATTCGGCTGTAGCTGAGTGTGCAGCCGTGTTAGCTTTTACTTCTTGGATTGCAGGATATTCTGCGTTCAATATCTGCCTACGAAGCATTTTAAAAGGAAAATAAAAAAGTTGTGTATGTTTTTGTATGGTTTTCGATTTTTGCTTTGTGTTTCCGAAATATGAAAAAGCATCTGTATATTGCAGAACGAAAGTGTATTTAAACGAAAAAATCTCGAAACAAAAATCTGTTTAAAGTAAACAATCGATCGCCTGGCGCCAAGTCATATTCATTTTATACCATACGGTAGATTTTTTTTCGTCAACGTTAACCGGCCATATGAGTCAACAATTAGCCATTTAGTGCAGAAATTCGAAGAAACTGAATCAGTGCAAGACGTGCCAACACCCGTACTTCTACGAACAGGGCGTTCGACCGAAAATATTGGTGCTTTGTAACAAAGTGTGAACCATGCCGCAACAACCTCAATTCGCCGTCGTGCACAGCAATTTAGCCTTACTCACAGCACCGTTCAGCGGATTTTAACAAAAGATCTAACTACATATTTTTACACGTCTAAAAAATTAAAGTGAAATAGGAACTGAATGAACGATAGAGACCATTTGCAGCGCCGTATATGTACCAATTAAATGCTTGAGCAACAAGCAGTTGATGCCGATTTTCCAAAAAAAACAAATATCATCATCAGCGATGACCCACACGTTCACCTAAACTGATGCGTTAGGAAGCCAAACTGCCGCATTTGGGGTACATACTTAAAATCCACACTACATTCAAGAAAAAACTATGCATCCACAACGAGTCACCGTTTGGTGTGGTTTTTGGACTGGCGGAATCATCGGACAGTACTTCTTCTTAAATGACGCCAGTAAAACAAATTCGAGTCAATTCAATTGTTACAATATGGGTTCAAAATGAAAACACTTTGGAAGAGGGTTGCCACCTGTTTAAAAAGTTAAATTCAATTCGTATTTCGTCGGGCAGTGTCAAGTTCGGCGCTCCTCGTTCATATGTTCAGTACCTGCGGACTTAAAAAACCCTTGAAACTCTAGGAAATTTCACGTAAATCCGTATGTTCTCTCCAACCTCTCTCCTTCCTCGGCAAACACCAGCGGGTACCCCGATGAATAATTTTAGGGCTGAAGCATTTGCAACAATTCGTGCGATATATTCTAGCCAGTGCAGCTGCTTTATTTGAATCGCTGAACTAAGTCTATATTACTTACTCTTTACATCGAATGAAAGACCGGATCATTTGCTGAAAATATTCTTGGGATCGGTGAGGACCGAAAGGCCTTATCAAAATCGAAAATAGCTTTTTCAATGTTGTAAGCTCTTAAGACAGTCTAATAAGTGACATTTTACAACAAAACGTGAGCAACGAGGGATTGTTACGCGAAGGAGCAATCCTGGCGACTAAATACAAATTAGTGGGAAACATCAATGAAAAAATGTCAGCATTGAAATCCAATACTTTGGACTGAGTAGGCAATTCAGGAGTAAAGTCCTCTCTCGACGTACGAAAACCACACTCTGTAAGTCAGTCATCATGCCCGTGCTGGTATATGGCGCAGAAGCCAACATCCGATGAGGCGGCTCTTGGAGTGGTTGAGAGAAAGATTTTGCGGAAGATTTACGGGCCTTTACGCGTTGGCGACGGCGAGTACCGCAGACGATGGAACGATGAGCTTTATGAGCTTTACAACGATATGGGCATAGTGCAGCGAATTAATATACAGCGGCTCCGCTGGCTTGGCCATGTCGTTCGAATGGACACCGACGCTCCAGCTCTGAAAGTATTCAACTCGGAACTCGCTGGTGGTAGCAGAGGAAGAGGGAGGCCTCCACTGCGATGGAAAGATCAGGTGGAGATGGACTTGGCTTTACTTGGCGTTTCCAATTGGCGTCAGTTGGCACAGAGGAGAAACGACTGGCGTGCTTTGCTGAACTCGGCCAAAATCGCTTAGGCGGTTAAAGCGCCAAAAAAGAAGAAAAGAAGAAGATCAATAAAAAAAATGAATGAGCAAGTACCTGATGTTGAGGCTACCTACAAGTCTACTGATACGTCCGATTGACTTCCGAATGAGACTAGTAAAGAATATTTTAGTTCGATTTTAATTCATTCATTTATTATAGTGCCAATAATAATGGCCAACCATTTTCCTGGATTACAACTAATCATTGTTAGCTTGCAGCACCAAATAGTACCCATTTATGCAGTCTAAATGAACCAACTTACAAGCAAATCCTTCGCCAAGTTACACGAATCCATTCAATTCAATTGAGCGCTCAACAACTCGTCACAGCAAGGAGTCGCAGAGGGCTGGGCAGGGAAATTCAGTGGCAACATTAAAAAATCAAATACCGTACCAAAGTGGATTTCCACCCCTTTGCCAATATTCGAATAGGCAAAAGTGCGATGTGGGCTGAAGCGCCCACTGCCACGGCAGACAGACAGACAGACGGAATTGTCGGTAATCCCACAATGAGCTGCCATAATAGACGCGCAAATTTGTGAGCTTTGCTCAGTCCAGCGGTGGGAGCGCAACCGTTTTGCAGATTTGTGGCATGCCACATAGCGGTTATGTAGCGGTGCGTTCACGTGCGGTTGCTGCGGCATTCATGCTAGTTACGCAGATTGACTTTGGTTGCTTAACATTTGCGGTTTCGCACTTTGCCACCACCCTGAAGCGGAGTTTACGTAGGTATGTATGTACATACATATGTTTGTAGCGTGGGTGACGCATTTGCAACACCAAGAGGGCGTCAGAGCGACGCAAGCGAATATTCATTGAAAGCAACAGGGTGGAAAGTTGAAGTTGCACGCTGTCACAAACGAATCCAATGAGTGAATGAATGAATTATATATTTGTGTGGTGAAGGTGGAGGCGAAAGGCGAAGCGACGGCGAAGCGGTCAGAAGTTGGCAAATGTTGGAGAAAAAGTCACTGCTGCAAAATAAAATATGGGAGTTATTACTCGGACAGGTAGTCCTTGACTTTGATAATCCACTAACAGACCGGGGCGACCAGGCATGCAATGTGACAAGCAGGACGAACCTTTGAGAAAAATTGTTGTTGTTTGTTTTTGCTTCCTAGCTAACTAAGAAAATGAGACTTTTGTTATTAGACGAATTATGGCTTGGATAAAAGGTATTAAGCGATAGCGCTCCAGTGTGGGGATCCCACTTAGCGCGTAATTACGTGGTTTAGCCCATAGACGCTGGAGTTTTTAGCTAATTGAAAAGTTGACTGCCACCCAGATGAGCACAGCTGCGGGCTTGAAATTCCGGAAATTTAATGTAAAATCTAATGTAAGCAAATGCGGGAAAATATATGTAGTTCTTAGGGAAAAATATAAAGTTAGAATTTTTAAACCACGCACCCATACATATTGGCATATATACATACATACATATATACGTACACGAGTACATACAAATGGTGTAGCCAATCTATTTTGATGATATACTTTTCTAGTATTCAACTCGCTTTTTATCTGGCATTTACACATGAGTGCATAACTTGTTGACATTGGTTGCGGAAAGTTGCGACGAGCTGTGAATTTTTGACATTTAATATTGACATGACTGACAATTGCGAACTTGTTAGACATGTGATAGAAATATACAAAGATGTGAGAGGAGATGATGAAGAGGATTCAAATATTGTCAATATAATTAAATGTATGTAGCTATGCGTATTAGGGTGGTCCATCCTTGTTGGATCAGTTTAACTTATGATTTTTAGCTGTCCGATTTAATTCTAAATAATTATCCTAAAAAGTTCAACTATATCTATAATATTTATTTTACTATGAGATCAGGCGAGAGCTCTAGAGCTCAGCGTGTATGTCGATGCAACGAAGTTATAGGCTGCCATCTCATGTCGACCAAACTATATTTTCACAACGACAACCAGAAGTTGGTGGTGAGAGACAATAAAAACTATGCGCCTGAAGCACTTACTCTTTGCATGTCTTAACATTGGTCCATCGTGATGCTGTCAAGGCGAGTTCGCACCCGCAGCGTAAGTATCTTGCTAATAGGCCGACCTCAGCGATCGAATGAATGGCGCAACAGGCAAAACAGCTGCCCATTTCGGTCCAGGTACAGTTTCTATTAATAGCAAGGTAGTTTTTAAATGCCGACTTGGGATCACTACCCAATTTTGTAAATAACTTGAAATAATAAAAATAAATAAATAACAAATTCGTGAAAGTCGTGGTGGTCTCCCGGTGAATGTTGCGTAAGGACTGTTTGTACAACTCTGGGTCCCATGCTTGTGCGATGCAAGTCTGTATCCCGTCCAGCAGTTCGTATAGAGGCTAGAAGGTGGCTCTGTTTCCAGCAAGTGTCTGATCGGGTGTTTCCTGTTAGCAGCCAAATTGGTTGCTGAGCATAAATACACATACATATGTATGTAGGTATGTTCCGTGACACGTAGCATTGGGTGTTCAGACGACATTAGAAGGCATCTCATTGGTGTGTTTTGGGAGGTCCACAGCTTCATACACTTCGCCTTACTTGTTCTAGGTGAGCAAACTGCTCCAACTTAATTTATAGCCGGCCGCCAACTGCCAGAAGCAATCTTCCGTGTAGGGTATCAGCAAAAATCCCTTCTGGTGGCTGAGGAAGGTGTCGAGGTGTAGAAATTAAACAGAAGGTAAAGAGGACGCTGCAGCGTCTGGTAGGTGGATTTAGAGGGGTGTGTGGTGGTGAAGACCTTGGCTTACGTTAGGGCGCTACTAACCACAGAGTGTGGTTTGAAAGGTAGACTGAACGCAACTTGACCATTCTCATCAACGACGTGTACAATATATTACACCAAGAGATAATACTTATCTTGTAATGGTTTTTGATTTTGCATAGATTGCTAGTAATATTTAAAGGACCTCAAATTACAGCACAGACTAAACAATACGAACATTTGGCCACTCATTCAGATAAGAATTCGATAAAACTATAAAATACTTAAAACTGGCTTCTGAGATTAGAAGTATTATAGTAACTTCGGTATAACTAAAGGTTCAACTTCAAACCAGCACGGGTTAATATATGCTGGTATCGAAATCAAAAAATATTTAGAGATCGCTCAAAGCGCTCAAAGTTTTCCATAAATTTTTATATGAACAAAATAAAATTTTTCGTAGAAATGGTATAAAATTCTTGCAAATCAATATTTTTAAATCGGAAAACTCAGGTTCTCTTCAGGATACATTCAATAATAATACCCAATTGTTTATTTAACCATTTTTGAATACTAACGATTTTTTATAGGTCACCGCATTGCATTTTTTTGGTGCTTTTGTGTGTTTTTGGCGGAACTATACATTATAATGGTTATATAAACAACTGGGTGTTATTATTGGGAATCCGTTAAAAAATTTTGATTTTTAACTATTCTATACCATTTCTACGAAAATATATAAATACATGAAAAATTTTGGGCGCTTTGAGCGACCTCTAAATATTTTTTGATTTCAAAAAAAAAATAAAAAAACAAGGATATACTTTTTTCGATATAGAACAATCCTAGGGGGTGAGAGCATACAAATTCCGACTTTACTTTTTCACATGCATTTTTTTGGACCACCCTAATGTACATACATATTATAAAATAAAATATATACATTAGGAAGAAAATATTATTTTCCTGCGTTTTTTTTTTTTTTAATTAAAGAACTTGAAAATTCTTCCGCCAGCAGCGAGGTCATTGTAAAAAGTTAATTATGTACGGCCTTAACTTGAAATCAAATTTTCGAAACATCAAAGTCAAACTATAAAAATAATTGTCAACAATGGCTGGCATCCTGTGGTGCGTCATGAACCGCCTCACAACCAAGTCTGTAGTCTGTTAAATGTCACCCTCTCCAATGTGCATGTGTACTTATGTACATATATGTATGTACATAACTCTGTATGAATTAGGATATGGATATCGAAATAAACATTCATTCATACGTTCATAGTTAAGTACACAGAGCCAAAGCTTTATCCTTTATTTGTTCGGTAATATTTCGTATCCGCCCAATTCATTCGAGTAGAAATTAATCCACTCACTCTCGGTCTCCCGCTGGGAATGATCAATCAATTCAAATCAAATTTTATTTATAAGCAAATCCTTTTTCTCTGCCACTACAGAAGAAAAGTCAGCGTTTAATGAAGAAATTGGAAATCACCAACTGGACCAGGTAATAAAGTTAAAAGCAACAAGCAGATTGAGGGCTGCTGATTTATGTACTTCATATTGCGCCAAACTAAAATATATATATATGTACATATATACATATGTACCTACACATGTAAATACATACACCCACTAGAAAAAGTTTTCGTACAGAGGTTTTTCAAAAATATTCATACATACATTTGCTATATATGTTTTTCAAAGAATAAAATTTTGTTCATTTATAGAAAAATATAGTTCATTCTTCAATATAAACCATTCAAGTATAGGTTTCCAACTTAGTCTAAAAATTACAAATATTCGCCAAATTTTCAGACCTTTTTTGTACAAGTTTAAAGTTTTTGTCGTGATACCACGGTGTACCGTTAGCTTAAATAAATGTTTAGAGAACTTGAAACCACAACCAACTAATTTTTAACACTGCGAAAAGGCATAATATGACTTTGATGGTACTCCCTTAATATACTTTTTATGCGTTTAAATTTTACGACATACAACTATACGACACTTATGACACCGTTGTGAGTACCCCATATATCTTTATAAAAAATTTACGAAGTTTTTTAATGAAAAACAGTATGAATATTGTAAGGAAAATCTGTACGCAAACTTTTTCTGCTGGGTGTATGTACATATGTACATATACGCGTGTGTGGAAAAGCAGTGAATGTATCATCATAATTACAACTCTGTAGATTCCAGCAGCGCATTATTTAATTGATCTGTCGGTTGGTTCAAGTGGTTTGGACAAATCGGACTGCTGCTGCTGCCAACGACTTCCGCTTGAACTCACTGCTTGTATGTATGTATGTATGTATGTATTTGGATGTTACACAAACAACAACAAACCGAAACACATTCACATTTCACCGAGTGCGTTGATTAATCCGCAGTAATTCATAGCGTTCCTGAGCCAGCAACGCGGCCCGGCCTGGCCTGACTTGTTTACATTGGCAAAATTAAAGTCCAGAAAACAAATCATTTTGATTATGAAACCCGTCTCATTCAACGCACATTAGCTGGACGATTTTGCTGCGTCTTTTCTTTGGTTTACTGATTATTGTGCTCGTCTGTCAGATCGGATATGTTTTCGCACGGACAGGCAGTACTGGCAGACTGCAAACATAGCCGAGAATTGCTTTACGGACCCGATTTTGATTTCCTGCTATGAAAAACGGAAATGCCATCTGGTTTACTGGCTCGCATTTATTGACTACTAACAACTGCGTAAACATTTCTGGTGAAACTGAAGTTTGTTGTTTCAGCTACTTAACAATTAATTAGAGCAATTAATCTGCACTTTAATAAGAGCTTACGAGAAGATTGTAGCAGAGTTGGATGTACAGGAAAGTCTGCCTCTGCAGCTCAATAACGAATTAATTTCGGGAACGAGTGTATAAATATAGTAAGTACGTACAGCAAAATATATGTACATATGAGCATNTTATAGTGGTCCGATTTTGACGATTCCGACAAATGATTAATACATTAGGTCCATTCTTTTGCAACCGAGCTACAAAAGAACACTCGCTCAAATGACGAAATACATGCAAAGCAACAACAAAAAATCGGCTATTTATGCGAGTTCAGCTAGGTCGGTTAAAAAATACGCGACCTGAAGCGTAGTGTTGTTAAGTGAAAAAACTGCTCTATTGTGAATTGTTACTGGGAAATTGGAGAGGGAAATTTTTGTTTTCGTATGTACATGATTTATATTTTAAATAAGTATATATATTATGCAAATACCTCTCATAATAACAAATTTCTATTGTTTTTTGTGTCTAAATCCCGTTAAACTAATCACATGTTTCAGCTACCAGCAGGGTTGCTTAAGTAGCTAAAAGGAAATTTTACCCGAGTGTTCTTTTGTCGCTCGCTTACAAAAAAAAATACAGCTATTATAAAAATACACTCGCTTACACAATTTCAGTCGGATATCTCGAAAATTGAGGGACTAGATTGTGTTCAGAGGTTGGACTTGGCTAAATCGACTCAGCGCGACGTTCTGATCATTCCCCACAACAGCTCAACCCAAATTCAGCGTATTAACTTTTTCTCGCATGGAGGCGACAGTGTAACGCAATAAAGTTTTGATTTTATAAAGACCTGCAATTTTGATTAGTTAATTTCTATTTTTAGAATTTTTAACTTGAAGGCGTGCTCGTCCGTAATTATTTGGTTTTTTTGTTGTTTTTTGGCCTAGTAAATCATATTAAACGATTTTTGTTGACCTTTTTTGTGGAAAATTATTGTGTAGAAAACCACAATAGTTGGTATAAGTTATATTTTCATTGGGTTGTCCGATTTTGAAAACTTTGCGCAAAGCAAGTTTTTATGATCAAACGAACCTATCTAGGGTGAGTCTTGCTTTGTAGCTTACAAAAAAACTGCCTCCGGAATGACGCCAGATTGATCCCCGGGGATACCTGCGACTTATACCACTTTTGATCTCTTTTATGAAATATACTTTGCCCTTTTGTCCGATCATGTCCTATGAAGAGAATATATTTTCCCTTTTAAAGCTGAGGGGATATTAAAGAGAGTACATAATAGCTTTTAAAAACAAAAATTAATTTTTCGCCTGTTAAGGCAGTTTCACATGATTGGGCGTTTGCCAAAGAATTGGTGCAAATCGCATGCCAATCGTGAGAATGCACAACTGTTTTTCTTTATCCCAATCGCGAAAAACAAATTGTTCAAATTTTTCAATAGGAGTTCGCTGTATTGTATCTACCAATCGTGTGACTACAAAAAAATTGTCGTCCCAAATTTTTTATTTTGTACCAATCGTGTGACACTGTCTTTAGCGACGAGTAATGGGCTAATTGATCTCCAATTGTGGCCGTTAGGCATGAATCGAAGCTAACCGATCTCCAATAATACCCGTATGAGACTAATTGCAACTAATTAATGCTCAATTGTGCCCCATGGAGACTAATTCTTTTTAAAGATTAGTCGCCAAAGTTTTTATAAAAGTTTGCTTACGAACGGTACTCTCCCAAAATGAGTGTCTAGCATCCTCATCAGAAGGTTGTCTTCGGTGTTCCTGAATTATGATGGTGGGAAGCAGCCAAATACAAGGACAAGACTTTCAAAATCCGTAAAATGTGCAAAAAAAAACGAAATAAAATACCTAAAATCTCTTAGTATGGAATATCTAAATTTATAAAATATATTTTCCTTCAAATATATGTAAGTATGTAATTTTACTACAATCTATGTGCAAGATATGTACACGGCTTTAAAGATCCCCCAAACAAACTTGTCTAATGCAATTACTTTCAAGAAAACATTAAACTTAAGAATCAAAGGACAACAAGGGGGGTTTCGCTCCACTACGGAAGCTGTAAAGTATCATAATTAAATCGGATATTTCATTAACCACAATCAAAATCAAACAACATTGACTAACACCCACACCATCATTAAGGATATGATACGGGAGCATGCAAAGCACAAGCTTTCCAGAATTAAATTATCAATGACACAAAAACCGACTGATGAAATGAGTGCGGAGGGGTAAGAGAGCGAGCATCGTGGCGAAAATTATTCACGCCACATAATTAAAACAATAAGCACAGCAAGCGCCAAAGAGTTATGCAGCGCTCCAAGGCAGTTTCGCGCAGCGCCATAACCCACCAAATAGGCATCAAACATCGCGCCCACCTAGCATCCAGCAGTCGAAATTTGAGAGCAACGAGCTGAAAGTGTACAGTGGCCACCAAGCGACGACAGGCAGGACACTGCGATGAGTTACAAGCGAGAAAGGCTTTAATTACACTCAATTACCGAATTTCACAAGGCGATCCATTTACAGGCGACGACAACTCACCGGTTGAGCGGAGACGGAAGCCTTTCGCCTGCCACAGGGGCAACAGGTACAGAAATGCAAATGGCATTCAACGCCATTCGCTTATTAACGCTGCTTTCCACCAACGAAGTGTTGATTATTTTCCTGTTTTTATTGGCACAGTGCTTTCATTTTCGTAAATTCATGCGAATTGAAAACGGAAACGCTTTCAAAGTGTTGTCAACGCGCGAGGCGTATGCGGTAGCCATCCCGTATTAGTATGATCTCCCTGGAGAGCGCACATTGAGACTACATATTGTTTATAGATACATGTGTATGTATGTATGTATGACGGTAGCTTTGTTTTAGGTGCACGATGGTGACATATTGTTTCCTCCCCCCCCCCTAACGTGATTGTCATGGATACATACATACCTGCATACTAACAACAAATTTGTTGCTGTTAATTAATTACTGCTCATTAAATTTCTGAATCGGTTCGGATTGAAAAATGGGAGTAAGACTCGTGCGATTCGTCGCGTATCTGTCGGAGTTTTCTTTTCAGATACATTGGCTCCGTAATATAGCCATAAAGTCCCTAAAAATTCAAACTCGACTGAATTGTTTCCTTGCAGTATTGCAATATTGAAATAATAACTGTAAGTGGATATCCCATGGTCCCAGAGGATGAAACCCTTACGGCAAGTCTGTTAAGTTTCATAAGGTAACGCCAACGTTGTTTTCAAGGTTGCTTGGCTTTCGATGCAGATAGGGGCTTTCCAGCTGAAACCGTGCAATTTAGAGTCAAAAATGTCGGTCTGCGCTCCCAGAAACTCGTTTGCGTAGGTGGCAAGATTGCCAATGCCTGGGCAGATAAACAGCTGACAAGCGAGATTCGTAGATTTTTTGCGAAACGAATATGCAAAATTTTTTAAGTTTTACTAGTTTAATTTAATTAAAGCTATCCATAAATTTCTCAAAAAATGCCCATACATGTTTTTGTCGCAGTGATTTCACAATAAAAAGATAATCAGATTTAGTTACCCATGCCGCACATGTTCCAAGTACAGACGGCCAGCTCCACGCTTCGTCTTTGATACCGTAAATGTACTGAGTGCTGGCCTCTAAGTCAGCTTCTATTTCATTTAGGCGGCCTCTTTCTATTTCCCTCAGAGCTCCATTGTCATGCGGAGCAGTTGGAGGTGCATCATGTTAAGCCCCCTCCTGATGTGCGATACTCACCCACTCCCTTTTGTCATTCATGAAGTCCGCCGGAACTTAACGTATTTCTAGAATTCTAATACTTTCTCTATAGACCTCACTATCTTATGGAGCGCACTTTCCTTACGGTATACGTACGCCACTTTGTCTATTATTTAACCGTTTAATTATCTTTGGGATAAAGGTTGCAAGGCTTACTGGCATGACTGTAACGGATTTAATTTCCCCCTGCTTTACTTTGTGCTTGTCAAAATGCAACTAGAAATAGTTAACCCTACAACAACCCTACAATCAAACACCATTAATCGAACCCCCTTTAGAGGCATTGAATGTTGCGCTGGTTGTTGCAAATCGATACATTTGATAGCGCAGTATGTGGGTGCGTGACAGTAGCTGGTGCGAAACCACCCTGCGGGGAAAACCCGAACTAATGGGTCAAATTTCAAATTCAGTAATAATACTTTATCGCCTAAGCCAAACCTGTCTTATAGTAACTATTTTCTCATTCGCAATGCAGCAAAATAT